GATTTGTGCGTGTCATCCTTGCGCAGGGGCCATGCTAATCTTCTCTGTATCGTTCCAATTTTAACAGATGTCCCGAAGGACCAGTCCTTTTATCTTTCTGTTGTAGGAATTTTAGTTTTTTTTGTGGTTGGTTATCTCACTTTAACCCTCCTGATTGTCTTTTTTTGTGGGATGGCTCCTTTCTTATTGGTGGGGAGCTTTACCTCCTGGAAACTGGGTCCAGTGTCTCATGCATGTTGCCAAAACTGTAACACACTGAAAACCGCACTCTTCCCTCACGAGTTTAGAGCACCCGTACATTTCCCAGCCATCAGATGTGGCATGCATGCTGCCGTGTTGCGGGCCGGGGAGCCGTTTTGTGGCACATGCATTCAGGCAAAACAGGCTGCACGTCGTGCATGCTGCAACGTCACGCAGGAAGTACTGGGGCGCCGTTTCGCGCCACATCCATCCAGGCAAAACGGGTCATGCAGTGAAACGGCACCCCTATGAGCATCAGGCAGGCTAGTGTGTCCAGAGCCTGCCCCCCTTGTTGACTGGTGCTTCTTTCCTTTCTCCAGAAATATCCTGCAAGGCAGTGCAAGCCACTATTCAGGGTGATATGAGCATCCTCGAAATTGTGGACCTGCCAGTTGATGGCCCCAGTCTGTTCCTGCTGGAATGGGCCCAGCAACATATCATGTACAACAGGACTCCACCACCCTCAACGTCATGCTCGAGGCCAGCAACAGTGATTGCCCACCCATGAGCAGGGGGATTAGCTGCGTGGCCCTTGACCAGTACGTTTCCAGCTATTTTCTCTGAACGCTGCTGTTAAACCACCAGAACCTCGCCGTGCTATTGAGTCCAAGCGTCGGCCGACCAGTATCCTGAGCCTTGCTGAGGCTTGAACTTCCGGTTGAGCGTGTGAAAGAAAAAAAAGAGAGAAAAAAGAAAAAATCGAACCACATTCTTCTATTTAAAAAAAAGCAAAAAGCAAAAGAAAACTTTGATAAAACAAAGATGTAGCCGACAGCTGCGCATGCAGATTGGGAGGGGGGGCATGCGCGCGCGGGCGAGAGAGAGAGACGCCCGGCGAATTTGCCGCAGAGCTCCATGCATGTCGCCGGGTGTGTGTGTGTGTGTGTGTGTGTGTGTGGCGTGTTTGGAAGTTCGGGAAAATTTCATGAATCTTCTGTACTCATCAGGGAAGCTTCATTCTCATTTTGCATACATCAGAACCCCGAGCGTTTGAAAGTATGCAAAATGAGAATGAATCTTTTGTGATCAATATGGAAGATTCATTCTCATTTCCCATACTTCCAAACGTATGAACGCGCGCGTGCGAGAGAGAGACCCGGCGGCATGCACGGAGCCCCATGGCAAACTCGCCAGGGTGCTCTCTCTCTCTCTCTCTCTCTCTCTCTCTCTCTCTCTCTCTCTCTCTCTCTCTCTCTCTCTCTCT